GGGGGGCGCGAGTGAAATTAGACAAACTTGGGGGGGGGGGCACATGTCATAAAAGGTTGAAAACCCCTGATCTAGAGTACTACTTGTGGTGCGATTCTGGAGTGAACATTCAGTGGATACTTTACTGTTCCATGAGGCCATGTAGGAGAAGCCGTGAATGGCAATGAAGCAACAAAACTGACACTGGCAGGTCACATGAAAGTTACAATATAGCAGCTGTAATGCGTCCGCATTTCATTCATACTACCCATATTCACACTATAGAATTTTTTTTTAATGGTCAAACATTAAGATTCCAAGCAAATGTAGTAGCTACTCAGTATGTGATCATACACGCAACATTAGTCTACAAGCTTAGTGCTAACAGCTTTGCTTGACAGCTTAGTACTAACTGATTACTTTGCTGAAACAGCTAAAACCAGCCTAAGTTGGTCTTACAGTAGGGAGGAGTGGGGTAAATTGAGCCAGTGGGTAAGTTGACCCACCTCTTGTATCTTGGCAACTAGTTGAGTTGAGTTCTCTGTTTCCCCAGAGCACCTGGAACCAGCAGCATCAGGCGAACTAGGCCCTTTCTCCGCCTCTCTGATGCGCTGAGTTTTCTGGCTAGCTTGCAGTACGTTTACCCTTCTGATTTCTAACGATCGTGCTGTAGGTCGAGCCCATCTCGTTGAGAGCTGGGTGTTTGCTCCCTCAGCTAGAGATTTACTGCTAGCCATTCCAGCAGTATACCTTAGATTGAGTTGATGACTTCTCAAACATAGTGTTTTGGGATGCACCATTTCCATCTATGGGCTGCTCTTTCAGAGTACCACGAGGGCCCCTTAGTTGCCCCTCAGGGGCAACTCTCATGGCTATGGTAGAGTTGGTACTTAGTGCTTGCCATGGTTCTGGTATGCACTCCCCTCAGCATGGTGGTGTGGGTATACCGTTCCCCATAGCGACCCCTAGAGGACGCAGTTCGAAGTTCCCTTGAAAGGGAACGTCTCAGGTTACATATGTAACCATGGTTCCCTGAGTAGGGAATGAGACACTGCGTCCTCTAGGTTTCTTGCCATGCTTCGGACGCAAGCTTCAGACGAAGAAGTGGATGATGTGTTCTCCCGGCGCCTATTTATACTATGGTCGCACCGGTAGTGACGTCATGGCTGTTGCCGGCCAACGTGTTGTTGGTGTTTTTTCAAAGTATGCTTCAGACACGGGTCACGACGAGGCATTCCCCATAGCGACCCCTAGAGGACGCAGTGTCTCGTTCCCTACTCCGGGAACCATGGTTACATACGTAACCCAAGACGTTTTGTGCTAGAACAGAGTTTACTGTCAGTGCAGTAAACGTCCTCACTGTGCCACATGACTGAATCTATACGTTTCAGATGAAAGGTGAGTTATAGTCAACACTTGATGGCTGCTCTGTTAATTCCTCATAATCAGTTAGGAACCTAGGTGTGCTATTTGATAGCAATCTTTCCTTTGAAAGTCATGTTTCTAGCATTTGTAAAACCGCATTTTTCCATCCTAAAAATATATCTAAATTACGACCTTATCAATGTCAAATGCAGAAACGGTAATTCATGCATTTATGACCTCAAGGTTAGATTATTGTAATGCTTTATTGGGTGGTTGTTCTGCTCACTTAATAAACAAACTCCAGCTGGTCCAAAATGCAGCAGCTAGAGATCTTACTAGAACCAGGAAGTATGACCATATTAGCCCGGTTCTGTCAACTCTGCACTGGCTCCCTATCGAATAACGAACACATCTTAAAATCTTGCTAATTACTTATAAAGCCCTGAATGGTTTAGCTCCTCAATACATGAGCGAGCTCATATCGCACTATAGTCCTTCACGTCCGCTGCGATCTCAAAACTCTGGCCATTTCATAATACCTAGAATATCAAAATCAACTGCGGGCGGCAGATCCTTTTCCTATTTAGCGCCCAAACTCTGGAACAATCTACCTAGCGTTGTTCGGGAGGCAGACACACTCTGTCAGTTTAAATCTAGATTAAAAACCCATCTCTTCAACCTGGCTTACACATAACACACTTCTATAACTCAAATCTGTTAAAGGATTGTTAGGCTGCATTAATTAGGACAACCGGAACCGGGAACACTTCCCATAACACCCGATGTACTCGCTACATCATAAGAAGAATGGCATCTACGCTAATATTAGTCTCTTTCATTCTTATTCCGAGGTCACTGTAGCCATACAGATCCGGTCTGTATCCAGATCAGATGGTGGCTCAGCACCTAGAGACGACCTCTACAGCCCTGAATGTCAGCGGAGATCATGTCAACTAGATGAGCCCTAGAGGCAGATCCCCTGCGAAGACCTCGTCACCTAGACGGTCATCGGGACAATACCACGAGAAGTCCTCTGCTCAGTCTGACCTGTGTTGCAGCCTGGAATTAAACCACACACATCTTGGTTTTGTCTGGCCAGAAGAGAACTGGCCAAAAGGTTTTCTCTCCATTTCTGTCACAGGTGGAGTTTTGGTTCTTTGCCACTCTTGCCTATGGCTTGCTTAGTTGGGGACGCTTAATTTCTGGCAATATTGTTGGCTTTATTGCAAAAACACTATTGGAAGAGTGTTTGGATGATGACATCTGGATGATGACATCACTGAATCATCGATGAACTGACTTTAACTGAAAAATTGACTGTTTGTCCTCTTGCATTATTGACAAACTATTTTCCTGTTTGACACTGTAAAGCTGCTTTGACACAATCTGTATTGAATAAAGCGCAATATAAATAAAGGTGACTTGATTCTGGTAATGTGCAGTCTCTACCATTGTAATGCCTTTATCACATGGCATATTGTAATGTAAAATGCTGTATTTGATGCAATCTGTCTCCCTTCTTCTGATAAATCTCTGATCAATCTCTGATCAGTTCCTCTCCCTTGTATCCTGCTGTATGTTCACAAATTGCAAAACACAGTTTTACAAATAAGAACATCCTCAAAGGGAGGTTTTTGGTGATTTGTCAGGTTTTGCTCACTTCTGGGTACCAAATTGTCCCCAAAATATGTCTCCCACTAAGACAAGGATATCAGATATGGCAATCTTTGTAGGTACATTTTTGTCCCCATGACATAGGGTTTACCTGAACCACACACACACACACACACACACACACACACACACACAGAGACAAAGAAATATGACTGTTTGTAAAAGGAAATTTGATTAAGTTAGTTTTAAAAAGAGGTAAATTATCTGTAAAAATTCACATGGGTTTGAATCAGATTCAATTAGGTGGTCATTTTACACCCAGATGGCGCATCTTAACCACTGTCCCGGGTCAACTTACCCCTAACCTGGGGCAAAGTAAGCCACAGGAAAACTTTTGTATAAGAAGCCATATTTTTAGAACCCTTTATACATAGATACATTCGGAAAAATTTAAATGATAAGAAACATCCTGATATTACTTTAGATACTTTCATTGTACTTCTGCCTCATTTCCCCTTATCTTGAGAACCACTTAAGTAAAAAATGGCCCATCTTACCCCACTCTCCCCTAACTGGTCTCCCAGTCTGACCAGCCGGA